TAAGTCACGGAAACGGCCGCCGCGCAGGCATGCCGAAAAAGTCGGATGTGCCTGCCGTATCACCCGTTCGATGCGTTCCTCGTTAGAGGCTCGGGGCTCAGCGATAGAAATAAGTTCATTTATCGCACATACATGCTCCTGTAAAGACTTGATTGATAAGTGGGGTTTAACGTCCCAAAACCACCATATGATTATGAGAGACGCCGTAGTGGAGGGCTTCGGAAATTTCGACCCCCTGGGGTTCTTTAACGTGCACCCAAATCTTAGCACACGGGCCTACAACATTTCCGCCTCCATCGGAGATGCAGCCGCCGCAGCCAGGATTCGATCCCGCGACCTGCGGGTCAGCAGCCGAGTACCTTAGCCACTAGACCACCGCGGCGGGGTCCTGTAAAGACTTGCAAGGAGCTTGTGTACGGAGCTCGAGCTCTCGCCGCATCCTACTTTCGTAGTCAGCGGGTGGGAATTCACGCAAAAAGCCCGCGTGAAACTCCTTGATGGTTGCTGCACGGTAACCGGTAAGCCGATACCATCTCGCCGCCGTGTCAGTCAGTGAAGCTGGAACAACACGTTCGAGCACCACCCTATCATCCAAACCCATCGCTCTCTGATAACGTGACAGAGTCGAGGTAATCTCGGGCGGTGAGCTGATCCCCGTATCCGCTGTAGGTTGGCAAAGGCAACATAACAGTGGGGTGACCGCTTTTCGGACCAGCTGAAAGCGTTTGCTCCCGAAAGTGCTTGGATAATCTGCACGGCGTTCTGCAGCAACGTTTGCGTCATCGCACCGGCTTCGTAAGAAGCCGTTGGTGCATTAGCGGCACGGTCGAGCGAAGGTGAGCAGTCGCCCAGCTCGATTAGTGGGACGGTTTCAAACAGACCACCGCCCTACGCGCCATTCCCAGAGCAAAATAGGCTTCTTGTGGGATTGGCCTGTTGTCGAACAAAAGGCGCACTGGTGCAGCTACCATCGACAATTCAGGCGCCTGCTCAGCGTGCGTTCGAAGTGTCGGTTCCACGGCTGATGGCGGGCGAAAGTCTGCAAGAGCCAAGGCCTTCACCCCGTCAATTCCGCAAGAAACCGATTGCGAGCGCGCTGTGCCGACGAACTGCCATGCATGCCGAAGGGCGCATTAGCAGTCAGAGGCGCTTATGCGTACTGTTCGGGTAGGGCAAGAGGCCCATTCCGAAACGACGCGCCATCTCCAAAGGGAGCAGCTAGGCGCCTCGTGTCATCACCGCAATAGGGGGTGCCGGAACGGACAAGTGCCGAAGGGTTCCCGTCAATAGAGGCAATGGCCTCCTTGTGCAACGCGGCATCCGCTAACAGGGACAGCGGACAAAAGTCCCGCGAAGCAGCCATGTTGCGACGAGCCCGAATTGCGCAGGCGAACTAACTCGCTGAGAGCAGTCAAAAGCTTAGAGCTTTTGATATCGCGTTGGGCGCCAGTGTGGTGACACGTATCCCGAAGGAATACGGCCACTAGCGTGGGTCCGGTCTTAGCGAGCCTCAGGGCATGCGTTAACCGTCGCCAGGGCAGGAAACAATATTGCTCAAAGTCGCAACACTTGATTGTCTGTGGCAACACCAAACGCAGGACAGCCCGTTGCAAAGGCGCGGCGGGAAAGCAAATAGGCTCATCCATGCCACGGGCATAAAAGTACTACACAGGGTGCCACGAGCACGTCTCCGCGGTAAAGGTGATCCCTGGAGACACCGGGACCAAAGCCTGGTTGCTCGAGCGAGGGCACAGACGCTCGCGTTGGCTTCGGAGGGACACGGGTCGGCGTAGCTAAGCCACGCACTAGGACACCGTACCACCCTTCGGCCGAGCGTACGCCCTGGAGCAACAAAAGGTGAGCGTTTGCCTCGGGCGCGAGGCGCCGTCAGCGAAGTCCGACGAGACCCCGAGCGACGGGAGTCGACGGGCAGAAAAGATTGTGTGGCTTACCGTCTGCAGTCCAGGAGAGTATCTATCTCCCGCTCCTGACGACGCGCGCGAAAACCTCTCGGGAGACTCCGCGCGCGGCGCCAGTCAACATCTGCTACCGGGTGAGGGGGGTTAACTGTCACTCCGCTCCCCCAGCGCGGCACACAGCGGAGGAGGGGAGACATGTTGGGACGTGAGAACGGCAGAAAAGGCGGCAAAGCCCGCGCAAAGGCAGCGGGCTAGCCTCAATTCCCACAAAGTGCAGCTGTTGACCTCAGTGTCGTTGCGAACTACCGCTCTGAAAAGCTGCAGTCCCTTTTACAGCAGTACTCGCCAGACGATACTTTCAACTGTGACGAGACCGGACTTTTTTCAAGCCGATGCCAGAAAAGACTCTTACCTTTGGTGGCGACCTTTGTCATGGTGACAAACACAGTAATGAGCGAGTTACTGTACTGATTGGTAGCAATATGTCAGGCACAGAAAAACTGCCAATGCTCGTCATCGGCAAGTCGAAAGCTCCGAGGTGCTTTAAAGGTGTAACGTCCCTGCCTGTTTCATACGAAGCCAAAAAAAAGGCCTGGGTAAAGCAGAAGATTTTTGAAAGCTATGTGAGAAGAATAGATCGCAAATTCGATCTAGAAGGCCGCACGGTTTCCTTTACTCAGCAAATATATAGCCCACGCTAGATCAACGACCACCTGAAATTACCATGAGTTAAACATGTCTACCTTCGCTCATTGTACGAAGGCATTTAAATATAGTTTTTTTGTTCATTCTATTGAATTGTGGAATTCTTTGCCTGGTTACGTACGATCTTTATCACTGGATGAATATTTATTGTATATTACTAACCATTGATGTAAAGCGCACTTGTTATGCTCTTCTATGTATGTATTTGCCTGGGGCACTTAGCATGCTCGCCGATGCATGGAAGTCGATGACATCGACAACAGCGCGCAACTGTTTCCGCCACACTGGATTTGTGTTGAATGGCGAGTCGGTCGCCTTGGACGAGGACAGTTTTGTTGACTAGGTTTCGACTAGGAATAAGCGAGCAGCTTATCGATGACCTTCGCACTGGGGGCGTCGAGATTCCATCAGATGTCTCGTTTTTCGAAATTGCATGTGTGGACAACGAGTCAGAACTTTGCCCTGGCCTCACGGAGGAGGAAATCATTCACCAAGTGCTTGCGGAGTCCGAGAGTAACGATGACGATGACAACTTACCTGCAACAACACAGCTGACGCAAGCTGAGCTGATGCAAGCGCTCGCAACTCTTTCGTCAGCTTACAGCGACACGACAACTCTAGCCGAAATGCGGGCGGACGTGCTCGCACGGAAGCGAAGCATGGTCCAGAAGAAGATAAATCGCTCTTTCCGCCCTCCGGCTCAATAGTAAGCAATAAAGTGAGCATTTTGAGGCACATTTGCTTTTTCGGACTGCCCGATTTTTAGAACATTTTCGCGGTCCCTTGAGGGTCCGCGCGTGCGTGCGTGTGTGTGTGAGCACTAAAGAAAGAAAAAAAGCTGCCCGCACGCGTACTATGCCCCGCGGATAAGGGAGTGGATGTTTGTGCGCACGCGCTTATCCTTTGGTGGGGAGAATCGTGTGCCTTCAGCTTTCATTGAAACGATTGCGCTAGTTGGCGGGCCCACAAAGGCCACTTCGGTCTCTCCGAAAAGAGCGCACTTTTCATACACAGCGAGGTATAACTGGGACACTTGTTAGTTTGTACTCATCTGTACTTGCGATTACATATCGTGCATCGTTTTTCTTTAAACAGTGCGTTACGTGTCGAGCCGTAAACGTTGTTAGTTCGCTCTCATCCTGTGTGTATGGTTTTCGTGCGTCATTTGTGAGTGAGCAGCGCACTGCATGTTTCGATCTGTTCACCGTTCAAAGTGTGACCCTCCAAGTTGTTGCTGTCGCATTCATTGCTTATACTTGGCAGTCCAGGAGGCCCTCGAACGGGCGGAGAGCCACGGTCTTTTAGTTCCGGCGTGGACGCGGCCAGCAACCGCGGCGGACACCTCTTAGGGGGGGTGTCTGACCAGTTCTCCAGGACCAAATAAAGTTCATTTCACTTCACTTCGCCCTTACGGTGAAACTGACTTTTTTCAACGCATTTACAGCTTTTAATCTACTGCTGCGTGCCCTTGGAGCTCGCAGATCGCTATCGCGTCGCTGCGACCGCGGTAGTATGCACGGCGGTTGCGGAAAACGGTAGTTCCTTTTACAATTTCCGTGTGCTTGGCTGTGCATGCGCCTTCATAACTGAGTCGTTTTATGCCACCTACAATCGCATCTGGGGCAGTTTTGTCCGCAGAGTTTGAGGAAAGGAGCGTTGCTTTGAATGGTTGAACGCGCACTTTCGGGACTCTGTCAGTTACGTCGTCGCCATACATGATCGTGTCAAGAGCGAGAGCGGTTTTGTCCACAGCGGTTGTGGCAACGACAATCACACGCACTGTAGAAGACAGTGCGTGCGCTGGTCACATGCGTACTTCCGAAGCTTCCGAGTACACTGCTTTCGGCCTTCGTTCGACGGTTTCCGTACTAAAGTGCGTATCACCCGCCGCGATTAGGAAATGAGTTCGGAACATTTGAATTTAAGCCAAATAGTCAGTGAAATTTGGCTGAGGAATTTCATGAATTCGTATATGCCGCCGTTTTACATCACTGAGATTCTACTGTACGTTTAGATGAAAACCTCTTAAACTCATTCGTAATAAAATGGGGTAGGTTGGAAAAGCCTGGTGCGTACTGAGCTGCTTTTTTGTCAATGCGGCCAGATCATGCAGAGAAATTTAGATTTCCGGGAGATTTTCATGACAACCGTACAAACGGAAAAAAGGTCTGAATCCAGAGTGCCCTGGCCAAACCGGGAGACTTGGCAGGTATGTATTCTTCTACAGTGTTGTAGCCATAGCCACTGAATGCTTGTGGTGTGAAGTGTTTGATGTACCATAGAGGTTAAAAATAGGTTAAGAATAGTAACAATGTAAAATGATGAATCTTTGCAGTAGCAATTCCACGTGGTGTTAATTCAGCATGACATACATACCTTGTTGTATTCAGGGTTCGTCACCACCCTAGCTTTAGAGCACATTTCGTTCAACTGGGCACCAACTTCTCTGACTTTGTCAGCATCAGTATAGCGCTGCCCAAAGAACGATGTTGTATCTTCGACTTCAGTAACATAAAGCTGTACTTCTTTTTCCTGCATGAAAAGACAAAAGTCTATCATGCACCGAAGCATACAATAGCGTGTTCCCTAGTACATTTCAAGACATCCACTGTCACATAACAAATTAGTGACTGCTTTTCAGTGCTTATTTTCAAAAATCAGGGCACTACATAATGAAGATCAAAACGCTTTACAATGAAAAAAGAGTATGGGATGAGAATATCTTAGCAAATCACTAGGCTGCACGCACAAACTCAAAAGTAATTTATTAAATGTACTTCAAATACAGCAAATGCTTATTTTGTGGCAGGATTCATTGCCCATGCATTTGTGTTCGCTTAAATACCAAAGGTTTAGGCTTGTGCGAAAATTCAAATTCTTCGAATATTCGAACGAATAGGTGATTATTCGAATTCACTTCGATTCGAATTTATATTATCGAATATTTTCGAAGTATTCGCAATAAACAAATGAATGTACATTAGTCCGCCTGTAAAGGTGGTTTAACTGCAATGTAGTAGTGCAGAGCCATGAAAGCACCCACTCAGGAGAACTTTGCTTTACGGAAAAGCCCCCCTTCAGATTTAAAGGGGCCCTGCAACACTTACTGAGCATGGTCAGAAAACGCTGCCGATCGGTAGTCGAGGCTACCGAGAACACGCGAGGCAAGTATTATTGCGCAGCACGCGGCCTGAAATTCACAATAAATTTTCAAAGCTAAAAATTGCTCTCTTCCCTTAGCAAATGACACTACAAGCTCAAAAATCACTTGTCACAGCCAAGAAAGAAAATACGGCTTTGGTCACAGTCATTGGCTGATTTGAGCATGGCACGCTCGTCGTTATCGAACCGCCGCGTGAGGTCGCCGCTTGTCGACAAGTATGCGCACGATCGCACTGAAAAGCCTCATATCCGAAGAAAAAAGAGAGAAAAAAATGCTGAAGGTCAGTAGGCGCTCATGATGTTTCTTTTCTTTTCTCGTGCCATCCTTTCCTTCTTAGCTTCCAGCTCTTTTGACGGGTCGAGAATGAAGAGTGCAATTACAGCATTCGGTAGGACTCGACAAAACACATTACGACAAAACACATCGCAGCTGCTTAGCTTTCTTATGTGCACTAGCACAACGTTCTTGTTCGCCGACTTCAGATGCACACATTGGCGCTGCCACTGGCGTTGGGCCTAGCTATGACTCGGAGCAGTAAGCTTGATCACAACGTGCATGGTAGCAGTATCTGCTATTTCAAGATACATCAAGATCAACCACAAATAAAAAATGCCATTCCGCAATGATCTCCGTCACAAGGTCTGAAGTGCCGATAAGCACCTCTCGCTGCTGAGACACCCATCTGCGATGTTCAAGACGAGCGCGGCGTGCTGTCGTAATCTGATCTTGGGGTTTCGCTTTCGTGGGCCAAACTAGAGCATAACTATAGATGAGCTCCACCAATACATACGTCACAAAAAATGATGTGGTGCTGCAATTGGGCATTTAGTTTCGCATGGTAGGCAACAGATGCTGCGCCTACCACTGTTGCCACTGAGTTTTCACTTTTGAGAGTTGTTTGTCGCTGTGCAAAGGAAAAAAAATGGTGTACTGGCAAGCTGCCACAGCTATTGGCAAAGGAAAAAAAAAATAAAAATTCAAGCTGCCACAGCTATTGGCAAAGGAAAAAAAATAAAAATTAAGTTTTTTTTTCTTTTTCTCCCCAGTTTGCTGTTTACGATAACCGCCGCAATAAATCAGCCACAGCTGTAAAACAGAACTTCTCTTTGAAACCAGTTCAACCTTCATATTTTCAAGTGACTTACCCAGCAAAAATTAGCTTTGTCAAGCGTTTCCGATCATGGTGGAGGGCCACCGTGGCCAGAAATTCATCACGCCCCCTCAAGATAAGCGATGAGTATTTGTTGTTTTCATAATCGCCAGATAATCACAGCGCACTTTGCTTATATATCCTCATGCTAATTAAACACATTACTCTGCTCATATCTGGTCTGGAGCGAATTGGTCAAATCATACAGCTAATCCGCGCACATGGTACAGCGAGCCGCCAGGAAGTGGTGGCACAACAGCCATAAGCACTGCGCTGCACCCAAGTAACCGGGAGATGATCAAGTCCACGCGACCACTCCATGTTTCAATGAAACTGTCAGTTGTCGCTTGGTATCAGATCATAGTCACAATCACTGCATATCCCAGACCCCATGATAGTTTTGAAATGCTCCTTGGTGTCGCCGCTGCTCACTATGAAACGATTGTGCGAGAGTGCCAGCTGAGTATCTTTTCTGCACTTTGCCAAAAAGAAAGAAAAGACCGTCTGGTGGGCACTTTGGGCAACATCTACTGTGTTAGTGTATTTGTTTATTGGGGGCGATGATGCACATCAGGAGAATCACATTTGTAGTCAAGAACGCACACAGCCTTTTTGTGCATGACCATGCCGCCTTCCCGGCTTCTACAAATTATCAAGGTTTCACTGCATTACTAGACAACAGTTAGTCCCGTTGGTGCTAACACCTTTGCGACAAAACCATCTCTATAACAGCGACAAGACGAGCACTAGCAAACCCCATGAATGAACCGAATTACAACATGATCAAACCATCAACCTACACTGGACATAAATGCGGCCACGTCCATTGTGTAGCCCACGCTCAGTGTTGCTCAGTCGACAATATTATTTGGCTAGATTTCGGCAGTTTACACTTCCAACTGACAATTATTGCAGAAATTGCCATTTATGCACAGTCTGGCACAGCAGGTCAGATTGGCACAGAATGACAATTGGCGCAGCTTTTCCACCACTGTAATTATGATGCAAATGTGAAAAAATTTAAGCAGACAAAAAGACTATTTGCAGCCGGCAGGGACCGAACTTGCAACCTTTGGCTAATCCGATAACACGTTCGATACTCTACCAATTAGTCTACAGCAATGCTCATCCTGCCATTCATTTTAAAGGAAATTTCTGAGCATGCAAACTTGAAATTCGAGCAATGTTTTCTTCGTCTGAGATATATGTTGGAAAGAACGACCAGAACATGACAGGATGCCTAAAAATAAAACTTTCTGTAGCACGAAAATCAACTGCCACTATTAAAATCCTCGCAAAGAGCACAACAAAGACGGAAGTAGTTTTGCAGAGCTTGGCAATTTCTTTCACTTACTTGAAGATGTGCAAGTGAAGCTGCTATAGTGAAGTTCCTCTTGCTATGAGCAGCCCCTGCATAATATTTCAATACAACTTATTAACTATTGCATAACAATGCAGAATTTAAAAGTTATTAGGCAAGACTCGAAAAAAAAAAAAAACGAATGCTATACAGAAAAGGAACAGGTAAAACTTATTCAGAGCCTAGTAAAAGAACTGCCAAAATTATTTTAGTACCAGACACAACTTGATTTTCTGTTGATCCAAAGTTTTGTTTAAATGGATGACACAAAAAATCATTTACCTTAAAAACCATTAAACATAACAATTTTACTGTGAAGAAATCATAATACTGAAATTTGACTTTAATCTCTCAGGATTTTTTTTTTTTTTCATAAAGTTCTTTCATGCTAAGTGTTGTCTTCAACGCGTCCTTGAAGCACATATAACGTAAAAGAAGGATACTTTACTAAACTCTTTATTGATATGTGGGGTTTAACGTCCCAAAACCACCCTATGATTATGAGAGACACCGCAGTGGAGGGCTCCGGAAATTTCGACCACCTGGGGTTCTTTAACGTGCACCCAAATCTGAGCACACGAGCCTACAACATTTCCGCCTCCATCGGAAATGCAGCCGCCGCAGCATTTCCGATGGAGGCGGAAATGTCTTAAAAAACGCACAAGCCACACATGCTACAAACACCACAAAGGCGAAACAGCACAAGAGTGTTTTCACGTAGTCGTCTTCCTTCACTGTTCACAACAGGGCATGTGCATATCATGGATGCGCTAGCAATTTTCCAGCATTCGCCCATACTGAAGAGACTTAACGTCCTCGGTAAGTTGCTCTGTGCCAAAATTACTAAAATGGTTTTTACATGCAAATGTTCGGCCATCCTAAAGCAACTTAATATCCTCGTTAAGGTCTTTTGGCAAAGTTACCCAATAGCATTTCCGTGCAATCGCTCTGCCATTCTCCTATTTCAAATACTTAATAAATGACACACGATAAAAAACAGGTCCAACAAAAACAACTAACACAAGCATAAAGAAAACAAAGTGGCCGCAAATCGGGATTTTCATACCAGCAACTAACAGCAAGCTTTGAGAAGTACTCATTAAAACTTACCTCAACATTAAAAGCACTGGTTCAACACAAGGCAAGATTAATTTGAGACATGCACCGGCATGGACATGTCATCGTCCATGCTTCCCGCCGGAAGCTGTACCATGAGCCGCTGCCTGAAACTTTTCAAATCGCCAGGATGGCTCCTTTTTCAGCGGGGGCGATTGTGAAGAAGAAGATGCGCCTCCGCCCAGCTCACTCGGCTCGTGCTTCGGTTCGCTGCTGTGCTTCTGGACGCTTCTTCCAGCTTCGTCGCTGAAGACTATAACATCCCCAGAAAATCAATAAACCTTGTAGCGTCATCATCATGGTCATTCATAATCATCATAATTTCTTAGCCACCGCGCCACGCTTCTCGCATAGCTCATGTCTAGCTCGAGCTGCGCGACCAACAGAACTTCACGTGCCTGGCGTGTTGGATGCTGGCAGCCGCTGCCGCTCTGCTTCAGCCCTGAAATAAAGTGGAGAGATTGGCACGGCCATGTTTGCCGCCTACACGACGTCGTCTCTCATCCCCTCTACCGCTACACTAGTGACCAGAAGAACACGCCCTTCGATGAGATACCGGCTGCTATGCTTACCAGACTCTGCCCGCCAGTGCCGTCGTTCCACTCGACCTTACTCCAGGCATGGCTCACGCGGCTGGACGCAGTTCTCGCAGTGAATGGCATCATGAACCAGCCGCTTATGCACGCCATCTTGCTCGACGCGCTGCCAGTCGAGTTTGGCCATCTTGCTGCTGTATAGACCACAAGCCCGCAGCCATATGATGTCCCCTGCGCTGCGGCGCTCGCCTGCTACGGCCTCACCTACCCCCCGCTTCTGGGGGCTTGTGACTTCCGAGATTCCCCAGTGCCGCAGCGTGCGGAACCAACCAGCTTGCAGACTTGCCTTGACCATGATCTAACTCTCTCGACTACATCGCCTCAAACCTCACGTCCGGCCCCTAGCAGAGCGATTTCTGCGCCCAACTACCCAATCGACGAGGTTCAGGATGTAGCTCATTCAGAGTCATCATCATTCTTATTCATCATCATTTCCTAGCCAATCCTCCACGCCTCTCGCACAGCTCACTCATGCCTAGCTCAAGTTGCCGGAGCAACAGAACTACATCACGCGCCTGGCATGTAGGACGCTGGCAGCCGCCGCCGCTCCGCTTCAGCCCTACATTGACGATGTGTGGGGATTAAAGTCCCAAAACCACCATATGATTACGAGAGACACCGTAATGGAGGGCTTCGAAAATTTTGACCACCTGGGGTTCTTTAACTTGCACCCGATTCTGAGCACACGGGCCTACAGCATTTTCGCCTCCAATGAAAATGCAGCCGCTGCAGCCGGGATTCGATACCACGGCCTGCGGGTCAGCAGCCGAGTACCTTAGCCATTAAACCACCGCGGCAGGGTGCTTCAGCCCTTAAATAAATTGGCGAGATTGGTCGGCCGCCTTCATGATGTCGTCTCACGTCTCCACACTCTACAAACTTCTTCACAAGTAGATGCTGGACTGATAGTTGGCCTAGTTGGTGATACATTATGGGCTGTACCAGCGCACAAACTCACGGGACGAAGAGAAGAGACACAAACAAGCGCTTCTTTGTGTCTCTTTGTCTCGTGAGTTTTGTGCGTTCGTACTGCCCATAACGTAGATGCTCAACTCATCCTATAATTAATGCTAGCATCGTTAATTCAGAACACAATTTTCAGAATAATTCAGAACGCCCAAATACCATAAGAACTAGCACCCCACAGCGGGGCAGCACCACAAACTTCAGTGATGCTGAAAGCGCTGTTTTCAAACAGGGGGACCCACGCGCACTGAAAGAATACAACTATGGCGGTGCTTGAAAAGCAAGAAAGAAAAGCATTTCTGGCATGAGCAGCCAAAACCACCTCTAGAGCACCTAACAACAGAGCAAGAAGAACGAACAACAGTCCTCGCAGTTGTTATTCAGGGTATTATGCGCACCCTACAAATGTTAGCAGAAGGGCCTGCAAAAAAATGTCAATCGGACCTGAATACTAAGATGACCACTCACACCTATTTAAAAGTTAAATTATAATTTAACAATCTCAAAAGCACCATTTTGATTCAGACAGGACAGGAGATTCCCACTCCAAACAACGTGACATCATAAATTTTGAAGGTGTGTACTGGTTCCTACAGAGTCTCTTATCGATAAAGTTAGTACACTGTCATATTTGGATACCACAGACTTAGCATATGAAGTTTCAAAAAATTTCATTGAGCCAATGTGGCAAAAATGTGCCTCTACACAAAGACGACATGACGACGGTGATGACGAAGACGACGACAACCACGAGTACTTATGCCGATGAATTTGTACATGCCGACCTTAGCGTTATTATAGACGGACACTACGTAACAGCACTGCTTGACACTGGTGCTGACTTCTCTATTATGCGACAAAAGCTCGCCGACCGCCTTAAGAAGGTCAAGACGCCGTGGAGTGGGCCGAGCATAAGGAGTGCTGGTGGACAGCTAATGACGCCAACCAGTAAATGCACCGATTGGCTCGTAATCGGTCATTCAAGCTTTATCGCCACTTTTGTCATTTTACCGGACTGTTGTAAAGAGCCGATTTTGAGTATGGATTTTCTGCGAAAGTACGGTGCTGTAATCAACATCCCAGAATGTATCATCACCTTTTTCCCCACTGAAGAACGACTGCCCCCCTGACGAACAGCTGCAAGGTTTACGTGTAGCCGATCAAGTAATGCTCCCGCCGAGATCTTGCTGCCTTGTGTCGGTGTTATGTGAACGGCCGTGCCGTAACAAGGTGATAGCGAAGCGAACAGTCATGCTATTGCTTACGCAGGGTGTTTTCATAGCAAGAGGCGTTCTGGCACTAACTGATGGGCGGGCAGAAGTGCTCCTCACCAACTTCAGCAACGAGCGCCGTCACATCCAGAAGGGCACCACAATCGCCTACTACAACGATGTGGACCAAGCTAGAGATTGCTTTGCTTTGCAACCAAACGACGCGACCATCCCAGCCTCAACACCTTTGTCTGTCGACGTTTGCTCTACCGTGTCACCCACGGATAAACAGCGCCTACTAGAACTGATACACCAGTTCCAAAATTGTTTTTCATCCACGTCGAAGGTCAAGCAAACACCGGTGACCCGGCACCGAATCATCGTCGAAGAAAATACGTGACCGATCCGGCAAAACCCATACCGTGTGGTTCCGAAAGAACGCGAGGAGATCCAAAAGCATATTCAGAAGATGCTCCAAGATGACATAATAAAGCCTTCCAAGAATCCCTGGGCATCCCCCGTGGTACTGGTTAAAAAGAAAGACTGCAGCTTGCGTTTCTGTATAGATTACCACAAGTTAAACCAAGTCATGAAGAAAGACGTCTACCAATGCCACGCATAGATGACTCTCTTGATCGGCTGCGGCATGCACGCCATTTCTCATCGATGGACCTGCGAAGTGGCTATTGGCAAATAGAGTTCGACGAGAGAGACCGGGAGAAAACTGCCTTGGTGACGCCCGGTGGTCTTCATGAATTTAAAGTGCTCCCATTCGGGTTATGCTCAGCGCCAGCCACTTTTCAACGTTTAATGGACACTGTGCTATCAGGACTGAAGTGGCAGACATGCTTGGTCTATCTAGACGTTATTGTCTTCTCAGCTACATTCGAGGAACACCTAAGTCGTTTATTCGCAGTTCTACAAGCTATACCTTTGGCTGGCCTGACTTTAAAATCAGAGAAATGCCATTTTGGTTTTAGCGAACTTTGCTTCTTAGACCACGTGGTCAGCCACGAAGGTGTTCGACGTGACCGGGGCAAAATCGACGCTGTCGCAAAGTTTCCCGCACCGCATGACAAAAAAGCCGTGAGACGCTTCTTAGGCCTCTGCGCTTGTTACCAACAATTCATCGCCAACTTTTCGTTTATTGCAGCGCCTTTGACACGGCTCACACGAGAGGATGTCCCCTCTCTTTGGGGCAAAAAGGAACAAACTGAATTCAACGAATTAACGCCAACACCTCCAAACACCTCCGGTTCTTGTGCACTTGGACCAGGAAGCACCAACAGCACTTCACGCCGACGCAAGCAATGTAGGCCTGGGCGCCGTACTGATACAATGGCAAGATAACTCCGAGAAAGTGATAGCCTATGCCAGCAGAGCTCTCTCTCGCACGGAAGAGAACTACTCGACTACCGAGAAAGAGTGCCTCGCCGTGGTTTGGGCGGTTCTCAAATTTCGACCGTATCTGTATGGCCGCTTATTCAAGGTCGTCAACAATCACCACTCGCTTTGCTGGCTTACTAACTTGAAAGACCCATCCGACCGTTTAGCACGCTGGAGCCTTCAGCTTCAAGAGTTTGATGTGAAAAGAAGCACACCGATGCAGACTGTCTCTCGCGGTCCCCCGTCGAGCCTGCTTCTACTAATGACGAGTCTATGGACACCGCATTCTTGGGAGTCATCAACGCGGCCACCATTTCACAAGAGCAGCGCAGTGACCCTAACCTGCTTCCGCTTATCCACTTCTTAAAAGGATAATGTGAAGTTGTGCTACGAGTTTTTTGCCAGAGGACTGCCACCCTTTTGTTTAAGGAATGACGTCTTGTACAAGAAAAACTTTTCTCCCACCGGCAGCCCATACTTGCTCATCGTCCCTGCATCACTGCGAAATGAAATTCTGGAAGCCTGGCATGATGAAGTCCCCTCTGGTCATCTCGGCTACACTCGAACATTGTCCCGACTGCAAAACAGTTACCACTGGCCAAACCGACCTGTTGCTGCGAAACATCACGTCCAAACCTGTGCCGACTGCCTAAGACTTAAAGCACCCCAGGCAAGCCGGCACGCTTATTACATTCCGTCCAAGTACCAGCAAGGCCATTCGCCCAAATCGGAATGAATTTCCTGGGCCTATTCCCAATTTCTACCACAGGGAACAAATAGATCATTGTCGCCACCGATTACTTGTCGCGCTACGCAGAAACTAAAGCCATGCCGAGAGCCACAGCAGCAGAAGCAACTCATTTCTTTATAGAAAACATCGTCCTTCAGCATGGAGCTCATTACGGATAGAGGAACTGCGTTCATGGCAGAACTTTTGGAGTCTGTTCTCAGGCTCAGCGGTACAGCTCACCGGAGAACAACGGCGTACTGTCCACAAACGAACGTACTAACTGAGCATCCTAATAAGACGCTCACAGACATGCTCTGCATGTATGTCGACAAAGAACACAAGAACTGGGATGAAATCTTGCCTTATTTGACCTTTGCCTATAATACTGCCCAGCAGAAAATTACCGGAATGACGCCGTTTAGTTTAATACACGGGCGCGAAGTCACTACAACGTTGGACACTATGTTGCCGCACGAGTGTGACGGCACTCATGCTGACGCCGAAGAATTCGGTCAGCGCGCCAAAGAAGCCCGACAGTTAGCCCGCGTACGTATTTGTCACAGCAACAAAAAGATGCGAAACGATACGACCTACGACATAAAGTGGTAACCTACACACCAGGCGACAAGGTATGAGTCTGGATCCCAATACGTCGACGCAGACTTTCAGAGAAGCCATTATGACGATACTTCGGCCCATATCGAGTCACCCGACAATTGAACGACATCAACTACGAAGTTATTCCCGACGGCGATTGCAGTTCCAGTCGCCGAAACCCCTCACCCGAGATCGTGCATGTCATCCGGATGAAACTCTACTTGTCCAGCTAACTCTCACTTGTCCTGTGGGTGCCAGTGCATACGTGCATTTTTATAAGTAGAGTTCCTTGGCTGTGCATCAGGACGATGCCATTTTCGGAGGGAGACAAATGTCACGTGCGTTTTGCAGAAACACGAAGGTGACAGTGCATACGCGGATCTGCGCACTTTTATGCACAAAGCAACAACGAGAAAGAGGAACTCTCTGGCTGTTTTGGGGGTAATTTTGTGTACTTGCGAGTGTTTTCACGTGTGATATTTTACTTCTTTTTCATTTTTAGTGTGATAAAGGGTGTTTGGCACACACGTCTCCCGTCTCTTTCAATCCAATCCCTTACAAGCGCTTTAAAAGAAGTAATACACAATAAAAAAAACCTAGGTACTATCGCCCTCTGGCAGTTTGCCGCAACGCTCGCTAGGGGATGCGAGAGCACATGCCGTGCAATGGTTGCGCCCATCGCATTGTTTAATTCCTTGCACGGCTTCACATTTGTAGGCAGCCGTTCTCTAGTCATTTGCGTTGGTGTGTGCAAATTGTGCTATTTCCATGAAGACGTGGCACCGAGACATGGGTGCAAAAATATCAAATATATTTTGGGCTACTAATCCACCAATCGCCACTACCATCATTTCCAAAGTACCTTTCGCTTTTTTGTGTAGCAGCGCATTGTCAAAGTGACACTTTGTGAGCCGAAGTGCACTCGCTTAAAGTGCACTAAAGTTGCGAACTGTGACTGCGGTATCGGACTTCGAGAAAAAAAAGTATGCATAAAAAAATTTTATCTAAGAAAATGATGAAACGCCCCCACGATCGTTATTTAGAATTTTCAGTGATTAACAAGATCAGCAACAAGTATACAACAACATACCCATAACTGCAAATCAAACTTCACGAAAGCCTATCTAGGAATAAATTGTGTCTAACCAAAGCTGCTGTCATATGAATATATGCATAACAGAATATGAAATTTGTAAATGAAGACGGCTTACTACTAAGGACTGCAGAAAGAGCAGCAGCTTTTTCCGCTGGACACATGTTACCACCTCTTGCTTCTTCAGGATTCACTCCCGTCTGTCCATGCCTACAATTAAGTGAAAAATTGTGTTACAATAACATTCAACACATACAACCCATAAAAAAGCTTAAAGGATGCACAAAACAAATAAGAGGACATCAAAAGCTTTACAAATGTCATAACTTGAATCGTTTAGCACACACAATAGCACAAAATAACTTCTCACATTGAGCCACGAGTCTGAGTGAGTAATATTTCGGTGAGTTCGAGTCCCAGCAAGTTTCGAAGTTTGACGTGCGAAAACTGACTGGAAGTCTTCATGCTGCCTCCTTTTTCTTTTTTTTCCCTTACTGCCATTCTGCCAGTGAAGGAATGCCTGGAAAGTGAGCGACCTTGCAGCACGCAGCATGCGGTGCTAGCCGCGGTCTGCAATATCTTGTCACCAGTAAACTGCAACGGGGCCCACACAAGTGGATGCCTCTCACATGCTTTAGAATGCACATTTCAAATTTTTTTTCGCTTAGTATGCGCTATATATTTTTACCGCGACCATTTCAGAAGTGTTGGTTGTAACAGTACGAGGCTTTAAAAAAATGTTCGCTATATGTGGACAAAGTCTCCATGGGTAGCATGGAGAAGTGCACTGAAATATGCTCATTCTATAATGATGATGATATGTGGGGTTTAACGTCCCAAAACCAACATATGATTATGAGAGACGCCGTAGTGGAGGGCTCCGGAAATTTTGACCACCTGGGGTTCTTTAAGGTGCACCCAAATCTGAGCACACGGGCCTACAACATTTCCGCCTCCATCGGAAATGCAGCCGCCACAGCTGGAATTTGATCCCGCGACCTGCAGGTCAGCAGACGAGTACCTTAGCCACTAGACCACCTTGGCGGGGCAGACCTTAGAAGGGGTCTTGTTAATATTGACCACCTGAGGTTCTTGACCTCGATGTAAGTACCCAGGTAATTTTACATTTCATCCCAATTGAAATGCTACTGCCATGGCTAGGAAGAATGCCATGGAATGGTTCTGTAGATTTCATATTTCATGGTTCTGTAGATTTCATAGAGTCCATTTGTATGCCTGAAGACATCTTGTTTATAGGATATTATCAGATTATTTTTTCATTCCACATTTCTTGAGAAATATATAAGAAATACTTTCCCAGCATTATGGTTCAGTTAAATTTTACACTCTGCAAAACGGCAATTTACTCTCATACGAGAAGTTTGGTGGTAAAATGAAATTTTGCTTTGTATGCAAAATATAGCTTTAAACAATTCTTTTCTCAATCTAAAGTACAGCAATAACCTTACTAGTATGAAAAAACAATCAAATTTCAAATATGTGAAAAAAATGCGGCTGAACATAAAAATGCAATGATCTCAAAAGTCGTCATCGCAGTGGCCGTACTTCAGGCATAAAGTCTGAAAAAAAAAAAACTCCAAAGAACTATGGTAATTAGTGTAAGGCAAAACTACTGCACCCACTCTATCACCTTAGCTCGTCATCGAAACCCATGGGAATAGGCAAAAGTGGTTAGACGGCCAAACAACTCAGGAACCCAACATGGCACAACTGAAAGTTGTTGCATGCAAAATAAGCATAAAGATTAGGCCAAGAATCACATTAAAGCAATGTGACAGCATGAATGACAACACCTCAGTTTGTGGTGGTGTTACCTGTTCATCAACACTGCATGTGCATACATCCAATGAATTTGGCAAGACCCAAGACAGCATCAAACATTTCGGTTGCCTCTGTGCACTGATTGATTGATTTGTGGGGTTTAACATCCCAAAACCAACATATGATGTTGAACATCATATCATCAACATATGAACCAACTCTGTTGATGCCCGTGTGTAGGAGTACTTATCAGAAAACACTGAAAAACATAAAGCAGGCACCATAGAAGCAAATAACTTTGTCCAGCTACCAAAACCTCAATCTGCTACTTAGGGGAGGTGCAGGCCTTAGAATAGTAAAATATGGCAAAAAAAATTTTATAAAAACGCATTTGAAGCATGTTCGTACTTCCAGACAGCTGCCCTCTAAATATCGCAGATTTTGCCTGGAAAGTAGAAGAGGAGGAGGGTTAGGGGAAGGACAGGGAGATAGTTTAGCCAGCCTAGAAACTGTTTTTTATTTTTTTCTAGACGCCATGTTTAGTGATAGCCACAGACCATCCAGAATCTTGAAGATCATCGGGAGAGATATCCTCCCCATCGACAGAGACTTGCATAGACATTCCGTGCGTAGAGCTTCGTGGGACGCATACCCCCAGAACCGAGACGCAAGTATGCGTCTCCATGCACGGCGACGCGTGGTCGCCTCAGCGTTCCAAGCTGCGGTGAAGAAGCGTCTTATCGCTTCTTCTAGACTTTCTCACCTTCCAAGAGATCATCATCGAGTCATCGTGAGACCTAGAAATGGCCAGGACATGAGAACTGTGAGTCAAATTAAGTTCGCGAAGTCACTCGCAGTGGCTGCAGCGCTCAGTGAGGAAGAAGTCACGGAAGACGTGGTATGTCTGAATATGATGCAGAAGATCGCAGTTGTAAGCACTCCAGCGGAGAGGAACGCCAGAGTGTATCCCAAGATCACCGCAATTACTCTCGGTACCGCCAGTTTTGCTGTTAGTGCCTACCAAGCTGCCCCCGATGACACCTGCAAAGGTATCATCAGGGGTGTTGCACGGACATCGGTCAAGAACAACTTTATTCACTTATTGTACACCCAAGCAACCCGACTGCACTCCAAGTAAAAAGAATCAAGAATTCCACCACGGTGATCATCCTCTTTGATGGACTAAAGTCCCAAATTACGTCGCATGTTGAAACAGTTTGGTTCGCTGCACCCTGTATCGTCAACAGACGGATGCCACCACCTGGGAGGCACAGAAAGAAGGCAAGCCGAGAGGCGGCCGAGAACATCATCGTACGCACCAGTGACGGTATGCAGATCCCGCACGTCCCGGGGTTTCGAGTCCTGGGGATGTTCGTGGACGGCACCCAAACCAACACCACGGCGGTCAAGAACATCACAACCAAGATGGGCATCGCAGCGCACCTAATCAAACGAATGTCGTCCCGCTACCGGGGCATGAAAGAGAGGGGGCTCCTGCATCTGCTGCAGGCTTTCGTTATAAGCCACGCGGCATATGCGGGGGCCTTTCACCGCTGGACCGGCGCGGAACGAGCCAAGATCGACGCTGCCATCCGGAAGGCTTACGCAGGGGCTCTTGGGCTCCTACCAGGTACAAAGACAACGGCCTTGCTGTCTCTGGGAACACACAACACGCTCTCGGAGATCAGCGAGGCCCAGAGAGCTTCGCAGCTGAGCCGCCTGAGCGACACAGCCGCGGGCAGAGGATTACTCGATTGAGTGGGATTATTACCTCCTGGAGAACGCCCGGGAGCAGGACCGGACGGGGAGCTAGAAGAACAAGTCCCCCTGAGCGATGAGGCAGCGAAAAAGATCATTGTCTACCCGCTGCCAAAGAACATGGACCCAGAAAGGGATGCGGGCAGGCGAGCCGCGAGAGCAGCGGCGCTGGCCCGTCAACATCAGAGAGACGAGGGCGCAGTCTACGTGGACGCCGCAAGATATCCGGGAAGACGCAACGCCTTTGCAGCAGTGGTGGTCAGCACTACTACCGGTAAACTATTAACAGCAAGCACCGTGCGTGCCCGAACAGCCGGCCAGGCAGAGGAGGCGGCAATAGCCCTGGCCATAGGTAGGCCGGGCACGCGCCGCGCACGGTGCTAAGCGACTCAAAGCAGGCAATCAGGAATTTTGTCCGAGGCATGGTCTGGCGGGGCACGGAGCGGCTAGTGACGTCCATCGCGGCTTCGCGGGCTGCTCGCGGCGCAGCTACAGGGCCAACCATCGCCCTCAAATGGTTCCCAGCCCACATGGGACAACTGGCTCCCGACAACGAGGAGGCGGACGCTGTGGCCCGTGATCTCATCACGTGCCGGACCGCGGCAGCCCGTCTCCCTGAAACCAGCGGTGAAGAACGAGAAGACCTCGATCCCCTCACCGACTACGGAGGGATCCTGGCGGCCTACAGAGAGGCCAGGAGAGCCTTTCCGCCCCCGCATCGTGCGGAGGCGGTGAAGCTCCGACAACTGCAAACGGAATGCGTGCTAACGCCAGCATTGGCCCGGCACGTATGCCCCGACATGTTTGTGGACGCTAAGTGTAGCGTGTGCGAACATGAACTAGCCACCCTCCGCCACATCATGTGGGACGGGTTTAACAGCGGTGTGAACAATGGGAATGGGCAGTGCCAGGACGCCACGTATCCCAAAGAGGTGGGAGCATGGATACGCTCCCAAGACTCAATCACACAACGAAGGGCCATCCAGCGGCTTGAGGAGGCCCTGGCAAAGCAGACGAGAAAGGGAACCGACGCCCCGGACAACGGGAGCGGAGGAGCCCGAGTATCCAACGCCTAGCCAGAGCACAACGTCCTCAAGATCTAGGGCCTGGGACTATAGGACTATAAGCCATAGTCTTTAGATAGGGAATACCCGCGCCCTGCGCGGCCGGTGACTTCCCGCACGCCGGATGCGCGAAAAGTGTTTCTCTCTCACCATGGACAGGCACGCATATATACGCAGAGCTGCCACACACGATGTGCACACCTGTCAATCATGATGACTGGACGGCGTGCACTATACCATCACAAAGGCTTGCCACTGTTTGGGTTTCATTTGACAAAGACAGTACACAACCAGTGTCGTGTACTGCCATTTGCTCTAACAGGATCACCAGTCTTCCATTGGCAGACTCCCTTCGCTTGCCTTCTCTCGGAGCGAAGTACTCTGGTGCAGAGTTCGCCGGCCACTCCGAATCTACCACTGGAATTCACCCGTAGTTCTTGCTTTACACCCCTAGACATACGATTTAGTGCAGTGGTATCATTCCCACAAGCTGTGCAAGTACTGGTGTGATACACCTCTGGGTACACTCATGCAACACTAACTATACATTACGACTAAGACATTTATGAGCTGCACATGTTCTCTCATAGAATAGAAATACCGCTA